TCACCTACGACACCGAAGCAGTGATCCCCGCAGAGATCGAAGTACCTTCGCTGCGGCTAGAAACATATAGTGATCGGAAAGACGAAGATGAGCTACATACCAACCTCGATCTACTCGACGAAGTAAGGGACCTCACGTACATTAGAACCGCAGCCTACCAGCAAAGAGTAGCTCGGTACTATAACGCCAGGATCAAGAAGCGGAATCTCCGCGTTGGCGATTTGGCCCTTCGTAAAATTATGGTACCTGAGCCCGGCGCTGGCAAGCTCGGGTCCAATTGGGAAGGTCCTTACCGAGTGAAACGAGTGCTCGCGGAAGGAACGTATGAGCTCGAGACCCTCGAAGGGAAACGAGTACCTCGAGCATGGAATATTGTCAACCTAAGACAATATTATCTGTAAGAATCGAGTAGGCCACGAGCCACTCCCTAAGCCTAAGGGCCAGAATACCGAGCTAACATGACCTCGGCACAACAGGACCCAATCACCTCTATGGCATGGGCAGACCCCGAGAGTGGGCCACGAGCCACTCCTCTAGCCTAAGGGCTAAAACGCCGAGCCAATGAAAAGACCTCGGCAGCGCACAAGACTTAATCGTCTCATCAGCATGAACTAAGTACTTACAACGCCCAAGGTGCAGGCGGTTCGGACACGAATCTTGTAACGAATAGCCCGCCCTAGCATGCAATGAGTTGAACCCGTTAAGGACAACCGATGTGAACTTAACCCGAGTGCAGACAGGTCGGGCATGTACCCTACTTTGTCACTCACTTCAGGTACGTAGCTCTAATAGCTCGGGTGTTGAGATCGCCTTAGCAAAGATGAAGAGTGCACACCATACTTAGGAGAAAAAGAAGAACTTTCATTACACCATACTTAGCAAAGATAAAGAGTGCACAAGAAAAGGCCAAGTGCCACTTCAGCATGGGGGGAAATTCAGGAACGGACTACGAATCCCTCCCAAAGCCTAACGGCCACAAAACGCCAAACTGACAAAAACCTGGTTATCTCCAACCCTTAAGGGAAAGACAGCTTGGGTATGAACCCTACGTCGTCTCCACCCCTGCTGCTCTTACACAGCTCGGGTAACCTATACATTAAATTGACCAGCTCGAAGTCCACTCACACTTAGAAGTATTTTTGCACTCAGAGATACTCGAAAGAAACTATATTTCATTAAAAAGAGAGTTCAGGTACAAGAATCTTTACCCGAGCTCAAAGGCACAGGATAATACATTTACAGTTCAGAAAGGGAAAAGATTAAGATACAAATATAAAGAGCAAACTACTTTGGGGGCTCGCCACCTAAGTCAGGGACCCACTCGGGGATAGTATTTGGACCGGCATCCTCTGCTCCATCTTCGTCACCCTCATCCTCGGAATCGGGGTCATCTTTTGACTGATGCACGATGTCATCAGTAATCCGCGAAGTAGTAATGGCGCTCGTGTCCAGCTCGGGGTAGAGGTGCCTGATCAGCCACCGACTGAGCTTGAAGCCCTTACGGTAGGCCTCCATCATCACGTCGTCGAATCTCGAAGAGTTGACGTAGTCAATGACGGCCTGAGTCTTGGCCTCCTCGAGAGCACCTTCGAAGATTGCAGTTTTCTCCCTTATGTCCCCCTGGAGGTACTCCACTTCATGCGCCAGTTTCCCCTTCGCCTCCTTGAGGCCTTGCACCTCGAGCCTCAGGGCATCCCGCTCAGCCTTGAGGCTGCTCACCTCGAGCCCTATGGCTTCCTGACCGACCTTGAGGCCGTTCACTTCGGCCCTCAACTTGTCTTTGTCTCGAGCCAGCTCCCCCTTCTCTGACATTAACACCTCAATGAAGCTCTTTTGAGCCGAGGCGTCACTCTCCAAGCGGTGAACCTGACAACGAGCTGCCCTCAACTCAGTATGGGCTGCGCGAGATGATTTCTCAGCCTCCAGAGCCCGCCTCAGGTGTCGATCTGATTGGAGGGTCAAGGCGCGAATGGTGGAGTTCACCTGCAAAAAGGAGAACCGGTTAAGAGGGAGACCAGCAAAAAAAAAAGAGGGAAGAAAAAGAAAAAGGAAGGGGGACCCACCACCATAGTATGAGTGGCAGCTCGGCCGCCGAGCTGACCAGGAGTGAGTTCGGCCCACTCACTGACCTCCCCCGAGTATGCAGCCAGCTTACTCTTCTTCAGGCTGCACTGGGGGTTCAGGATGGTTTGGCGCCCTTGACCCTCCGAGCTGGAAGC